CCCCCCCCCCCCCAAAAAAAACTTGGCTATTTAATAATTCCCATCAGCATTGTAAAAGCTCAGAAAATGTTAATTTCAGGCACACTTGTGGGCTACCATGACTCACTTTTAGCAAAATAGGAGTCAGGATTTTGGGCAATATATTGCCTGGCATATATGTTGGCCTGGGACACAATCTGCCACCTGGGGAACAGCTGCATGAACTGCACTGCCTAAAGCTGGCCATGTCAGTCTGTATCCCATGAGTTGCTGTAAACAGAGATGTCTGGGGTAAAGTTTTCAGTGGGTACCCAAAAACCTGCATCAGGGACAGTGCTAGGGGAATCAACTCTTTCTGCTAGGGGGTTCTGCAGAATCAGGTGAATAGTCACTTGCTTCATCATCAGATGCAGTATCTGTTGCGTATGAGTCAACGTTTTTAAAAATGGTTTAAAACGTTTTTGTTTTTTAAACTGGGGGGGCACTAAAGGGTTGATTTTTTTTTTATTCATAGGGGCTTTGGATACTTAGAATTCTGAGGAGACACTGTATTCTCCTCAGAGATACTTTGTATCACACTCATCCGACCTGCTCAGATCCACAACATAGTGTGATGAGCTGGATCATTTGCTGTAACAGTACTGTGATCACCGTGATTGGCTATTGCAGTGATCACATGAGCTGGGACCTTTGATTTGCGGTTAAGGGTCTGCCTCGGACACAGCAACAGCATTAACCCCATGAGTGCTAGTCCCCCCACGGACCCATTTTTGCACATGACGGAATTATTCTGTCATTGGTCTTTAACTATTTGAAAGATTTTGGCAGAATAATGCCGTCATTGGACGGGAAGGGGAAATTACGGTAATTAATAAAACTGGAAAATCCTTAAGTATAGCATAACTGTTGTAAATAGAAGGGGATTTTAACATTATTAGCACTGTCTTGAATATTTACCTCTCACTGGCCATCAGTACGTCTTTATCTGTGGTGTGACAAGCCTTCAGCCATGATTCTGGCAATTTGAAATTTTCCAAATCCTTCTCAAAGAAATATACATAAAGATCCTCCAAGGAGCCTATGAAAGAAAAAGAAAAAGGCAAACTATTGTGATAACAGTAAAAAGCTGTAGAAAGCAACTTGCTTTGTGTACTTGCAGTGTCTTTTTAAAGAAGAACTATGGGAATTGCAGTGCGGGAATAGCCCTAGTGCTCATTTTGTCTACGGGGCTAAAATAAACCAGATTCATTCACCTGACCCTCAGGCCCTACTTCTGTCAGCACTGAACTCTCTCCCTATCTGCTCCTGCTGTAGAAATGTCCCTTGGCATCTTCCTGCCTTATGCAAGTCAATGGACCTGCATTACATGTGATTATATGTCATAGTTCTTTAAAAGGGAAGCTAGCACAAAGTAAAATACCTGTGTAAGATGGCTCTGATACAAGCTACTCTTCCATGATTTATCTGCTGTATACTGTATTAGATCAGTGCCACTTTAGCTGTTCAGTTGTGAAATTAAATGACTGTCCCAGATACATTAAACATTCCATGAGTTAGAGATTGGCTGCTGCTACCACAGCCTTTCTTGCTCAGGTGTTGTGTTTTATAATGGACTCCCTTTACCACATCTATACCTGCCATACATTGACAGATTATCACAAGCCGTGGACATTTTTGATAAATTCACTTCATATTTTTTAAGTCTATGAAGCATAGAAGAACGTGGCATCAGATAGAGGGAGACCTGTGTTGCTAGTGATTGGTCATATTGGAATCTGATAAAAGCATATAATGTATAGATAAGCCGTATCCCTTAAGTATGGCGTCATAATCCTGGTCTGATATACATTTGTCATATTAAAGTTAACTTTTTATTTATATTTCATTAAAATGTGGACATGTATAGTAATGTGGTACCTTTAAAATGTGTGCTAAAAGGAGGATTCCAGTCTCTCAACTTGTGATTGATGCATAGAGCTATTAAATCATCCCAAGGTATTTCCTGTACAAATGGCTCAGAGTCTGACTCTTCAACTTTATTGTTTTGGAGGCAATTCTTCCAAACATCTCCAAGAAGCATCTGTACTTCAGAGTCCAACACAGGAACAGCCTCTGAAGACTTGGAGATCTGAGATACATAATCTTTAATCATGGAACAAACAGGATGACAAGGAGCTGTGAGGAAGAGATCATAAAAAAAATACAAGTTAGGAAACAAACTAAAATATATTTCAATTATAGTTAGATGCTGGCCGGTTAATTACCCCAACAACTTTCAAAGCTGATCTCCAGGCATGACTTCTTTTCACTCACCCTTTCTTTGTATGTGCATAGCGATCTCATTTCAAAAAAATATCCCCTACCTGGCTCAAAATCAATGGTATATATTTTTAATAATCTCCAGTGATATCATTGGTCAAAAATCTCCTTATTGCGGTCACCTGGAGGTATGTTCTGCAGCACACCTCTTTTGTGTACATAGGGCAAACCACAGAAATAGAAGAAGCCCCAAAAGTTGTTTTTTTTGTGGTTAAACATATCTGTCATTGATTAGGGTTTGTATGTAGGCACAATTTTTAAAGATTTAGTATTTTTGTATACAGGAGGCACTGTCTTCTCAAGGTGCGTTATTTGCTAGGCGCTTAGATAGATAGAGGTATTATACATCACTGAGTTGGTTTGAGTATTTCAGCAACTGCTGATCTACTGGGATTTTTATACACAACCATCTCTCTGGTTTACAGAGAATAGTCTGAAAAAGAGAAAATATCCAGTGAGTGGCAGTTCTCTCAGCAAGAATACCTCGTTGATGTCAAAGGAGAATGGCCAGACTGGATCAAGCTGATAGAAGGTATGCATTCCGAGGTATGCAGCAGAGCATCCCTGAACACACAACACATTGAACCTTGAAGCAGATGGGCTACAGCCACAGAAGACCACACCGAGTGCCACTTCTGTCAGCTAAGAACTGGAAACTAAGGCTACAGTTTGCAAGGGCTCAACAAAATTGTAAAATAGAAGATTGGGAAAAAACGTTGTCTGGTCTGACGAGTCTCAATTTGTGTTGCGACATTCGGATGGTCGGGTCAGAATTTGATGTAAACAACATGAAAGCATGGATCCATCCTGCCTTGTATCAATGGTTCAGGCTGGTGGAGTTTTTAATCATGGATGTGCAGCCGACAAATCTGCAGCAACTGTGTGAGGCTATCATGTCATTATGGACCAAACTCTCCAAGGAATGTTTCCATCACCTTGTTGAATCAATGCCACAAAGGTTTAAAGCAGTTCTGAAGACAAAAGGGGTCCAAACCAGTACTAGCAAGGCGTACTTAATAATAGTGGCCAGTGAGTGTATTTGACATGTTGGCACCATAATATGGAGCTCTTGATGCACTGAATTGATATATCCAGAAACAAAATGTATATGCTTCTTTGCAGGAGGGTTACTGGGGGTCCCTTAAAATATTTCATTGTTCAGAGGGAAAGGATGGATATGTAGCCTATTTGCAGAGAGGAATGGCAAACCCCTCATGGTTTGAGCATAAATAATGTTTTCATAGGGATCTGATACAGATGTTCATGGAGGAGTGTTGATCATAGACAAACTGCATTAACAGCATATCTACAAATGACGACCATTAAGTGTTAATGGCAATAAAAAAATAGTTTAAATGCTATGGATACTAGGGATTTTGCTCTATTTTAAATATTTTTATATTGTTAGTTTTGTAGATTTACACACGTGTTTTGGATAATACAATAATGCATTTAAAGAAATGTACTAGTTGTCAGGATTATTGGGGAGGTAGCCAAACCCTAACTGATGACATGGATTTAACCAGTGAAAAACCTTTTTGGATTCTTTTAGGTTGAAAGGTGTTGAAGTGACTGCCGGCCCCACTGCAGGCAAAGCAGGCACAGCAGTCTGGTCTTCTGGGTAAAAAATGAGGGACGGAAAAACTGTGAAGGTTGCTTTTCTGTTGGGCCTGCTTAAGAATGAAGCAGATGACCATTTATAAGCTTAAAAATTGTATAACATTCAATACATCTGTATTAAATACTGTTTTTGCCTGGAGAAGAGATCTAATGCACAGGGAGGGATTCCAGCTGTAATATCTTTATATTTGAGCTCACAGTACATTCTGTCTGCTGTGGGAGGTGCTGCACCAACCACTGGCTTTGGAAATGTGGCCTCACCTGCAGTATATTTCACATAATTTACATGACCAAGATGCACTAAAACAAATTTCCTTGCAGAATGAGGAGAAAGACTCAATGGAGGGTACAGTGCTGGGAACTCTAGCAAGGAGATCTCATAAGACATTAAAGTAGCTCTGCCCACCGCCCAGCAATATGCAACATTAAAGGAAATGTACTTTTAAAAGGGAACTGCTCACCTCCCTCTGGAGGCTTGTCCATTTCTGGAATCTGAAAGGAAAGTACAGCTTTCTTTAGCCAAGCAAGGTGCTCTAAATTGTTCCAGTCCATAGGTGGCATAACAAAGCTGCCCTTTGAAGATGTAAATTCTGTCATAGGCCAGGACAATTCCAGAAGTTTGCTTGATGAAACCACCTTTGCCAAATAGGCAACAGCGCTGTTATATAAATCAATGATGGCTGCAGGGTCCTGAGAGGGAATATTACACTTTTTACGCATACACATGTCATGATAGAAAGGATCACTGAATGCATGGTATACTCCATCCTCTATGAACTGTCGGAAAGGAAGTGCATGTAGCGGTGGAGACCGAGGACAATTGGATAGCAAAAACTGTACAGCAGAAGTGACCTATAAAGACAAAAGAGAAAGTGGGAAAGTTTTTGTTAATTCAGAATACAGGATTTTGTCTTACCTGTAAAATCCTTTTCTTGCGAGTAGATTACAGGACACAGGATCTATAGTCTTAGACCATGGATTTTGCGGCTGACTTCAGGTGACTGGCAAACAAACAAAGCTTTAAGCACAGCCCTATATAACCCATCCCATGCCCAGCAAGCCTCAGTTTTGTAGGAAGCAATTGGTGAATCATGGGATGCCCTGTAATGTACTCCAAGAAAAGGATTTTACAGCCAAGACAAAAATCTTATTTTCTTAATTGTACATTACAGGACATTTAGTTTTGGAGCATGGGATGTCTAAAAGCAGTCTGAGGGCTGGGCAATACAGGCTTGCTGGTAGTGAAAGGAGTTGTATAGCACTGCCCTTACAGCTTACTGTCGAATCACCCGAAGGCAGCTGCATTACTCGTCAGACTACAGATCCTGTGCCATGTAATGTACCAAAAAGAAAGTACATTTCCCTTTTATTCAGTGAGAGAGACAGCCATTGACTGCAGATCAAGCTCATACAAGTGTGTTATGCTGCCATGTCAAGGAGCGGGATACTAGCTGCAGGGGGAAAAAAATAGACAGCTAGAAGGACATCTAATATGATTTAACCCCCCCAAATGTCAGTTTTCACCGTGCGTCCAACTTCTGGGTTCAAGATTGGATCAACAAAAATTCCGATTAGCACACAGGCTGGAAAAATAGGATTTTGGTACTCACCGTAAAATCCTTTTCTCTCCACTTTGTAGCCTCACTATCTAGCCATTGAGTGCACGTGATGCTGCTTGGCTTATACAGTAAATCAGGTTAACTGCAACAGCCCCACTTTTTTATTGCTGTGGCAGCCCGTTACCCACCTACTGGTAGAATGGATCAATTAAATTTCTCTATCAAGTAAGTAACTGACTGCCAGACAGGCGAGATGGATACTATAGATCCTTGTAATCTCACCAGCTCAGCCAAAAAGTGCATAGGTCTGCTTGATATATACACTGAGTGGCTAGAATATTATGACCACCCCATCAGTACTTCGTTGGGCCACCTTTTGCCTTCAATACTGCGGCGATTCTTCTTGGCATTGACTCCACGAGACGTTGAAAGGTAATGCGAGGAATCTGACACCGTGCCTGATGAATAGCACTGTCCAGTTCTGTGAGATTTGATGGTTGTGGAACCAGCTGCCTGATGGCTCTTTCAACTTCGTCCCACAAATGCTCAATTGGAATGCTCAAACGACACTTTGGTATGTTGTGCCCAAATCATGCCAGGAAAACATGCCCCAAACCATAACACTGCCCCCACCAGCTTGAAGGGTTGTACTCATGCATGTGGGGTGCATGCTGTTTCCGCCAAATTCTCACTCTGCCACCTGCCAACTGGAAACGTGATTCATCGGACCACGAATTGGAGACGTTTACTGCAGACAGCAAAGGTGTTCGAACAGGCCTTCGGCTTCCATATCCCATACGATGCAGTGTACGGCGAACAGTGCGTTCAGAGATCATTTGAGGGGATCCCCGATTAAGATCTGCAGTAATTTGATGCACTGTTGCCCTTCTGTTGTCTTGTACCAGTCTTGCCACTCTCCGTTCTGCCCTAACATTGACTAGTCGCTGACGGCCACAATTCGCATGTTCAGACCCAGATTTTCGGCTGACAGTCCAGTCTTTAAACACTAACAGCTGCTCATGAACATTTAACGAATTCTGCTGTTTTGCGGATACTCGCTCCATGGCTCCGATCGCCAACAATCATCCCACGTTCAAAGGCTGTTAAATCGCGTTGTTTATCCATATCTTCAGAAAAAAAATAATTTCTACTGTCGTGGTAAACAACCTGCTTCCCTATTTATAATGGTTGGCCCTCTAGCAACTTCATCGCGAAATTATAGCTAATTTGCCTACAAACGTCAGGTGGTCATAATAATATGGCCACTCAGTGTAGATCACTGCAACAGCCCTGTTTTTGATATTGTAGTGGCAGGTCTCATAAGTGTAGTTTATGAGAAGAGGGGGAGGTATTCTGCAGTTTAGAAAGAGTCAACGGGGCAGGGCTGACACCAGTACACACTCTTTCAGTGGATAAAAGGCCAGGGCGATAGTTACAAATACAAAGTCGCAGTAGTTTCATCTGGAAATATGCTGCACCTTGAGTCTCTGTTGTTAAAAAGTGAAAGATATATCATAATGTCACAGTGTTGCAATAATTTACACCCCCCAATTGGTCTGAATATGTTAAATTACTGCAGATTTGCTACACATTTGCATGCGTGTCATAATTGCCACAGATTTGAATCTGAATTGCCTCAGATGTAACTACTGTATTTTTCGCTCCATAAGACGCACCTTTTTCCCCCCCAAAAGGAGGGGGGAAATGTGCCTGCGTCTTATGGAGTGAATCCCGACGCCTGAGACATGCAGTTTCGGGCGCCGGGCGAGTAGTGCTTTGTACATTTAGCTCTGCTAAAGCAGAGCTAAATGTACACAGTAGGAGCCACTGCTCGTTTAATACGATCTAATGAGATCTCTAATGAGATCACTCGTATTAAAACCGAGCAGCGGCGGCGATCGAGATCAACATAGAGCAGACGAAGAACGGACGTTCTTTGTCTGCTCTGTGTGTTCACTGAGACCGTGGCGCTGTAATCACAGCGCCACCTGTCTCAGCGGTCACTAACTGCAGCTTCTGTCACATAACCTGTGACAGAAGCTACGGTCTTTCGAGTGCTCCATAAGGCGCACCGGACCTCCCTGCGTCCTATGGTCCGGTGCATCTTATGGAACGCAAAATACGGTACTTGTCACAATTTGCCTAAATTCAGCCGTGAGATAAATTTTACATTTGCAGCATGCAGAACTTGCATATAATACTGTACTATGCTTAAATACATAGTGGCCGATACCTTATGACAGACTTGTTAACGATAAAAACTAGGCTTAAAACAAATACAGTTAACACTGACAATGTTTAAAGGCCAAGTTCACATTTTAGATTATGTTTTGTGTTACACCATCCACGAAACCCAAATCACCACCCTTATGTAAGGTGTTGTTATTGTTTGGATTCAGTGTGGCTTTGCATGGCTCTGCCCACACAGCAGCGACATCCAGGTCTAGCAGTGCTTAGTTTGAATGACTACATGTCCCATGTGCCACTGAGGCACAGGGACTATGAAGAGTACGCTGGTGATATCCCCTTCCCATTCAGCAATTCAAACAAGCACTTCTTCAGCCTCACAATAGGAGGTCCGTACAGACCAGAGGCTAGGAACACACTGACTGCAGGGGAAATACAGTGCAGGCTTCACTGCAAAAAATTAGTAAATGTAGATCAATATTGCTGCATTTACTACTTTTTGCAAAAATATGGACTAAGCCTTTAATGCTACCAATTAAGTTGAAGACATTTTTTAATGATGTAAAAAAAAAAAAAGAAGATTTACCACTTCAGTTCCTTTCAGATTAGTCACAGTTTTTGGTATTGACAGCACAATATAATCCGAGATGAGATCGCATGATACCAGGTCCCGAAGACCAAGTTCTGTGGAAATAAAAGGCACATTAAGAATTTAAATGCAACATTCTTAAGAATTTGCTCGCAACTGATTTTAATCAAACATAAAGACCAAAGAAAAAACATTGACCTTCCTCCACATTTTGCTCTTCATTTGGGGAAGATCCTGGCACCAGCACAGCAAGGCTTGGTGCTGGCTTAAAGGGCTTGCAATTTAATAGCTGCTTTAGCTGCAAGATTGCTGAAATCCAGTACTCCTCAGTTTCATCAAATGTAAATGGTAAAAGAAACACAATGCTGTTGGTTGCCCATAATTCATTCTTGCATTCAGCTTCTTCTAGCTCAGAATCTGTAAGAGGTCCATGTACTGCCTGCCAAAAAAAATGTATATACATGCATAAAAAATAATATTCCACAGCACCCTGCACTGGCATTTAAGGAAATATCTAGTAGGTTAACTCTAAACGTTTGATATATTTAAACCTAAGGTGAAAAGACAAGTTTATGTCAAGGAAAGAAAACCACACCTTTACACAAACATTTATAGACACAGGCCATCCATCCTGAGATGCCAATGTGTTGTAGAGTGCCACTGTTTGGAGCTGCTGCTTCTGGGCATCTGGTGGCTGAACTCCTGCCCAGCAGAACTTAGCTTTCAACCACATAGACAGAATGCTGGAATACAAAAATATCAGTATATTAAAACATATTCTGCTGTGCCGTTACAAGGTACATGAAAGCAATCCTCTTACCTGTTAGGGTCATCAGGCTGACTGGTTTCTGGCAGAGCCAGAACTACTTTCCAGAATATGCAGTTCTTCCATGAAGGTAAGCGGTTTACAATCAAAGATGGTATTTCCAGCGGCATCCATGCAGCATCACTGTAATAATAAACAGGAAGATTTGTGGAATAACTGTACATAGAATTTAGAGAAACCACGCAGAGAAAAATGAATGTAATACAAACCATAACAGCTCTTGAAAGAAATGCTGCACTTTCATTTTGTGTAGGATCTGTTCTGTCCGCTGCTGGGGACTGTAAAGTGAGGAAAGAGAATTACAGACCATAAATAAATAGCATGTAAACATGGCCTCTGTTTTTTATATTAAAGAGAACCAATCCACAGTAAACATGCTGTGAACAATGATAGACAAGGTAAATACTGCCCTAGTATATAGCATATGGCAATGTACAAGTGACAGATTTATCATATATTCGTAGTTTCGTAGAAGTAATAAATGTGTTGCAATCCTTTGCACCCACTGTTTTGTCTGAATATGTGCAAGTCGATTTTCTTCACTTTCACATTACACAAAAGTGTGACAATTGCCTCAGATGTAACTACAATTTACTTTCAGTGAAGTTGTCCTTTAACTAACCACCCCACTGCCAAGAGTGCAGCCTGCCTGGTAAAAGACTTGCCCTTTTTCTTGTTCCCGTGATCTTCACTGTGTGGACAATGCCTGACACCACACAACCTTTACAAAGTAGACCTTTCGGTTGGCTTCTCTTCCTACTGCATAAGCGCACCACTGCACCATTCGCTCCTATAGCATAAATGAAGGTTGCCAAGAGTAGAGCTCCCCTATAGTAACAATGAGGCCTTGATGCACATGTAAAGTAGGAAGAGCAGCCAGCCTGAATGTTTTATTTGCAAAAGCTATGTAGTGCCAGGTAGGGCTACGCAGCAAAGATTGATAATTAAGGGAAATTAAATATTTTTCCAGGTGGGCTGCACTGGGGGGATGAAGGGGGAAGAGGGTGAAAGGACCATTGAAGAAAAAAAAAAACACCTTTTCCATTAAAGAGTTACCATGGTCGCATGCTAATATGAAGGCCTTAGGCTTAACAAGGCAGGAATTGGGGATTAACATCACCCTTTCAAAGCACTTTTAAATAAAAAAACAGGAGGCAAAGTCTATCTTCCCTAGCCTTACCGTTTACAGTTTTGTGAGGGATATGCTGCAAATCTTGAATCTTACACACAGTTCAAAAAAAATATGAAGCTCACCTAATAAAAGAGACAAACAATTTTCCGGCATGCCCCAAGTCCACAATCCCCTTAGGCTGATTTTGCAAATTTTGCATAGCACTGGGAATCAATGCCCTCAGTGTGCCATTATGACCCATTAAACCAGGAGCAGCTGGAAATCCTCGCATTTGACGCCTTAGTTTCTTCCGAGAAGCCATAATTTCCCGCCACCTACAGACAAAACAAATTCATTAATACCAAGCAAATAAAAATAGGTTATAGATTTACAGAAGTTTGGGCGTGAGACCTCTGAAAGTATTTCCTGCAGAGTTGCATCTCATGAAGAGTTTCCTTGGCTAGATCGCCGAGCTCGCTTTCCATAAACTGATCCACAAACTTCTTACTGACATATTGAGAGCATCGGCTAATACGCTCAATATGATCTCTTTGTATGGCTTTCCTGCAAGAGAAACACTTTGTCACAACCAAATGACATAGTTGCATCTTAAACAAGTAATGACATTTAAAAAATATATATGAGGACACTGGAAGAAATAAGAGCTAAAACATTGGCATTGTTTGAAGCCAAGAAATCCATATTATTATATCTGTGCTACTTTTCCTCATACGTAAAGAGTTGATCATCAGCATTTACCAATAAACGTAAACAACAAAGAGCACCTTAAAGATGTAAACAAGACAGCACTTCAGTGAATGTACAGTTGCAATCTTTCCTACATTAGTAATAGGTTACAAGGTCCCTTCTATATACCTTAATGAAAAGTGTTACCACTTATGAAAAAATAGGATTTTTTTAATTCACCGTAAAATCCTTTTCTTGGAATCCATTTAGGGACACAGGATTCTTAGACTGTCAGGTTGTACTGGTGCATACAAGAGAAATGGACACTGGCAACAAAAAAGGCATTAGCCATCACAGGAGAACATCAACCACAACCATCATGGCTCAGTTTTGTAGCCAAGTAGTACCGAGAGCATGAAAAACACTGACTGGAGGGACCTGTGTCCCTCAATGGACTCCAAGAAAAAGATTTTACTGTGAGTACAAAAATCCTATTTTCTTTAGTGTCCATTGAGGGACATAACAATTCTAAAGACTAATATTAAGTATTCCGCATTATATTTTTATACATTAGATTGAAACCTAATAGCTGCCAACACTGTAAAACCATACAGAAAAGCCAGACAAAAATAGCAGTGTAGCACTATAACTTCTATGCTATAGAAGTATCTAAAACCTTACATTCTCGTGCACAACAAACTTTCTGTGCCCATGATTAAAGAACAAGCAAAACTCTAAGTGTCCCTTGTACTTCTAAATCACAATTATAAATAAATAAGTTTCATGAATCCAAGTGTTTTGTGTGTCTTCAGTCTTTGAATCAGTGATCAGCACAATCAATAAGCTATGTCTCTGAAACAAATATCACTTCTGTTGTTTTTTTTAAACATGCATCCAGCGTCAACTTCATGCTCTCAAGTACACACACTCCTGCTCACCTTAAAGTTTTTTAATTTAACTAAAACTTTTTAGTATGGTCCCAAAAGCTTCCTCTTACCAACTGGGGTAACAATCTGACTGCCTCCAGGATGTAAAACTTCGAACTCCTCCATGGATGCAATGATGCACCGATATAACAGAGAGAACAGCACATAGCGTAACTCTGATAGAAATGTTTATTAAAAAGTCACATATATCGGTCCGCATAAGAGACCCAACGAACCCCACTCCAAATGTCTACAACACAAGACATGTGACTGGCTTAGCCGACAGCAAGTAAACTATCTCCACCATTTGGCTGTAGCTGCTGGCTCCATGTAACGGACTGGATAGGCTCTACACCCCTAATGGAGTCCTTGCAATGTAACGCAAAGGGTGGCGCTTAACAACATAAAAGGAGCTCGCATCAGCCGTAACCACTATTATTTCATTGGCTGCGGTAATTCGCTCCAATAATTGTAAATAGAGGTTTGGTATCTTTGAGATATGTCTCCATGGACTGAGCCATCAGCTTAGCCGTTATCGTTCATATTCTCTGAAAAATGGCCAGGAAATCATAAATTCTGCCAGGGTATGTAAACTTATGAGCACGACTGTAGTTCTGAATACTTCTATAAATGTATTATTAGTAATCGGAGGGTTGAAGGTAGACTTATTAGATAATCCACTATGAATAGGAGAATGAGTTGTAATTTCTGTCTTCCACTAGTCTTGAGAAACGGGGTTAGACCTAAAATGCTTCTTAATATTTAGTGTCCTAATAAATGTATTAATACCGATATATGTGTCAAATTTGTTGAAATGTTTATTTGGGGAAAATTTCATAACTCTATTCAACACTTTAATTTCCTCTTTGCTCAATTCCCTTCTACTTAAATTATAGATTCCCTCTCCTAATGGTCTCTTTGCCCTGCTCTACATACTCTCCTCCTCTTATTCGTGAAGCAAAAAAACCTCTTTTTGAACCCATCCTTCTCTGTTCTAGGCCATACAGACTGATGATATGTTCTCCATAAAAAAGGAGATGGGAACATGTGGGGGATCCGAACGCTCCTCTACACCCACATTTTTGTTATTGAATGGCTTGAATCTATTAAAAACAGGAACAGGTGGTCGTTCGTGGAATTGTCTACATTTCCTGTTCAATCTTTTTTAGGATGCTGCGAAGTCCCCTTAAGCTGGCCATACACATATAAAATTATCTTCAGATTTTCCATGGTCAGATGGAAAAAGTGCAACAGATCCCTCCATCTACGCTAAACTGTGTGCATGGAGGAATCTCCCACTGGGCCAAGCTTCAGTATCTTGCTAGTCGGCCCCGCTGGCTCTCAAAATACCTGAACAATGGCAGAATCCAATCATATTGTTCAGGTATTTTGACAGCCAGCGGGGCCAACTAGCAAGATACTGGAGCTTGCCCAGGGGGGATTAGTCCATCCACACAGTTTAGTGTACAATGAGGAATCTGTTGCACTTTTTCCATCTGACCATAGAAAATCTGCAGATAATCTATAGGCATATGGCCAGCTTTAGACTGTTGGGCCGTCCAAAAGCAGCAGTCCAACAGAAGTGTGGGCAACATAGCAAGTAAGGCTACTGGGCGTAAAAAAATATAGCAGAAAACTGAAGGCTGCCTACAGCTCTAAGAGCTGCATGAGGACACTAGCAAAAAGTGAGGCATGATGGTTGAGCATAGGATTATATTGTGCTGGCTAATTACTTTTGTTGCCAGTGTCCATTTCTCCTGTCGGCAGCAGTTTAACCTGAGAGTCTAACAAGTCTAACAATTTGTGTGTCCTTCAATGGATGATAAAGAAACAGACTTTAGATCCTAAAATTAAAAAAAAAAAAAAAAACC